TCCCAGTTCCCTTGCCTCAAATATCTGAACATAATTAGCTAAAGGTAACGGAAAACAAAAGCCCACTCTTGCTAATTTTCTTGCCTTCTCCTCCAAACCGGCCAGGGATCAGCTGGGCCGTGCGGCTGACTGGGCGAGCCCTCGCCATCCAGCTGGTCTGTGCAAGCTGCTCCTGCGGCTGTGCCGGCCCCTCAGCAGGATTTAGACACCGGGGAAGGCAGCAACTGAACAGAAAGGTCTGGGTGTGATTTTGACCATTCTCAGGAACGCAGGAAGCAACTAGAGACTGCAGAAGTTCTGCCATGTGTAGCTGATGCCCTCCAGGTGCCTGCACAGAAGTGTGTGGATGGGCAGAAGGTCAACAGCACACGCCAGCAAACACTGAGCAGCCACTGGAGCCGACGGTGACCAACTCCAAACCTTTGTCCAGAGGAGTTGGATGAAGAAATCCAGCTGGGAGAACTGCAGAGATCAACTCCTGGCAGTGGCAGGGAAGAAAAGGAAGCAGCAGGCAATTGCTGTAACAATTCTCTCTTTGCCTACAAGCCCAAGTCTTTCGAGTGTTTCACGCTACCACAGGACCCGGCGCTACCTTCACTGTCCCACTTTTCTCTCCTTTTGCTTGTGCTTAGCCACGTTTCTGAAATAGCAACGAAATTCCTTTCTGAGCATATGTTTTACGTAATGGGTAAGTCAAAGGGTTTTGTCGGAGTATATTCAACATGTCTTCCAGAGGTTTACACCAACTGAGATCTCAAACTCAAAACCTGACACATTCATTTACTCTTCTGAATTGACAGATTCAAGTTAATCCTGTTATATTTAAGGGCCATTTATTAAATGCCGTTAATATGACAAACATAGGCTCCCCATTTTGTAGAAATGCCTCATAAGTCCACATCTATAGCTTCATACTCACTAGGGTATAAACACAATTAGAATAAGGCATACATCCAGCAACACCCTCTGTCTTGTTGCACCTGAGACATCTTCATGCCCATCATCTTGTAAGGCATTTTTCCCCATGAGTAGAAAAGCAAATTTAAGCTAACAGTGAAGTCTCTGAGAATACTCTGACATCTGAAACAGTAAAAATTTCCTTCAACAACTTCTCTCTTTGTACAGAGCTGAGTAGAACTTTTAAATTCGCCACAGATACAAAACCCGATTTTTATAGGAAGTATGTGCAATCAGTCTGGTCCGAAACATTTGTATGGCACATACAAACTTACATTTAACTTTTTTTCTTTATTTCATCAAAAGTAAATTGAATTCCACCCTTCATCAGAAAAATCTGAGCTAACCAATGCGTAAGCCATTTCCGCAATTAATTCACTTTTTCCGTCACTAACCTGTATGAACAAACTGTGTCTTGGGCTATTAATATCAGAACAAAGACCAGAAATATTTTCCACCACTGCTATTTCAGCTGGATTCATGTTCATGGAAAACCCTGCATGGAGCGGAGGACAAACTGGACACTTGCACGTACACAAAAAAATGAGGCAAGGACAACAGCAATGGAGGAACTGAGGTGTGGACCAGCTGGTCACCATTCCATTCAGAGGCAAAAGGGAGAAGAACAGAGAATCAGCAGCTTTCTCTAACATGTGGGTCCTGTTCCGATTGTCCATAACATCCTCCCACAGCCCCAGCAGCACGGTGGAGAAGAGGAGAAGCCCAGCCCCAGGATAATGCTACTAAATAGCGACTCGTGCTTGTTCTCAAGGAAGCCACAGTAAATCATCCTTCCTCCCACACTGCAGAGAAAGGAGGCTTTATTAAGTAGCATTTTCAATTATGATAGACATGAATCTGGGAGAAAGGCTTGTACTTGCATTCAGCTTTTTGAAAAACACAAAAGAGTGACCGGCGAGTACAAGCATTATTATAAAAGAAATCAAGGCAATGAAACACCCTTCATTGGGAAGAGGGTTGAGACTGGGATGGTTCACAGAACGCTGAGAACGGGAAAAGGATTAAAACCAATGTTCAAGGCATATACAAGCTGAAGAAGCAGCTGCTTTGAAGTCTATACTTCTGTTTGACTCCCTTTACAGGTCTATACTATGACATGGAGACAAAAGCCAGTGAGCATGTGGGAAAGGTCTTCATCAAGTACTTTTTTCTAGATTAAGTTCCACAGCTTTATTTTTGTCTAAAAAAGTCATTTATAATTTAATACTTGTTTCAGGAGTCTCAGATTTGTGGTGCTGATAACATTGCACTTAACTGGCATTATCCATTTTTAAAAAGAAATTAAAAAGCAGCTCTGAACTTTGCTCCTGAGATGGAAGCACTGTCTCTGAAGCGGCAAGGATTCCTGTCACTCTTGCTTTGCATCTTTCAAGGCCTGAAGTCTTTCTAAAAGGGGTGGATGGGAGTAATGCCACATTGAAAAGATCCAGTCAGAGACAGGGAATCCTAAATTATCTTTGTTTAGCTTGATCAAAGCAGAATATAGGTCTTTAGCCTTCCCAAGTTCCTTGGCGAATGCATCTGCTTGAAACTCAAATCGCCGGCTTAATACAGTCAAACAAAAAGAGAGAACCTGTAGAGAGAAATATATTAAAAATTATTGTAAAATTCAGCTGTCTGCAAGTTCCTTACAGAATCAGTAAACACTATTTTATCTGCTTTCCACATCACTAGGGATATAGAATGATCTCACTAAGGTTTATCCAGGCCACACCTGAAACTGGGAGTCGTACCCAACACGGAGCACTAACCCTACTCATCAAAATGAGACACCAGATGGAGCCCCTAGAAACTCCAAATTACCGCCCTCCCCCAATCAAAATAAAATAATTTTTTAAACAGGGTGATACTTCAGCAACTATGTCTTGAAAAGACGTTACCTCATTGTAAGGTGAAAAAATGAACTGGAAAATAATCATCAAGCCTATCAGGGTAGGCTGAGTGTCATAGAAACCAAACGCAGCAAAAAGTTCTTTCTGACCAATTAACACAGCGAACAAGAAGAAGCAGAGGAAGGAATTCATCTAAAGAAAGGAAAACAATATTTTTGATTAAGATGAGTTTCTTCTATGTCTAAAACATGACCTATTGACATTACAGATTTGCATAGAAACTCCACTGAAAAAAACTCAACAAATAGATTATTTTAGAGCTAATACACACGAGGAACATCTGGCCCTCACCTGCTTTCTGTAAACACACACTGGTTTGTGTCAGGGAGCTAAAAAGTCTAAGTAGTGAAGGAAGAAGAAGAGGCAAGAAGACAAGATAAGTGAGGAGGGAGTATGGGGCAGAATTCATCTCCCTGGAATTAAGCGTAGGTTCCAAGAAGTCTAAAACCAAACCAACCGTGTTCGCTGCACCATACTTCTATTCCTGACCCTGATCTCAGCTGTGCATCCCTGGGTACAAGCACTGGCCTTGCCTGGTTTTTCAGAGGCAAGAGGCAGAACCGTGCCTTCCCAAGTTTTCTGGAGCAGGTGATTAGTACCTTTGCACTCCATTCAAGTGGCTGTTTGGCCTTTTTAGAGTAATGTGGAAGGGGCCAGAACACCCTTTGTTATTCAAACACACAGGAGAGGAAAAAAAGAGGGAAGGCCGGGACAGCAAACAATCAGCAGAAAAAGTAGAAGACATGGCAGGAAAACTTGCAAAAATTTCTGGAAGTGAGGATAAAATTTACCTATTACAGAAAAGTAACAGTATCTAGACAGTGGGTCCAAAGACAAAAGCTGCACTGTTAGTGTGGCGAAACCATTGTAACAGTTGCTAGTCAGTAGGGATCAGCACTGGTGTCACAAGTTGGAAGGTAATTGCCCTTAAGGAGAAAGCAAGAAGGACCTCTCCCAAGTATTCAGTTGCACAGATAAGAAAAAGCTGGCTCAGAAAAGGAATGATAAGACATTGTCTTAATGTCTTGATATGTCTTAGAGCTTGCCAGCGATGTCCACAGTCTAAAAAGCTGTGGATAGCCTTGGGAAAAGAGCAGAACAGCATTGCTGGAAGGGTGCAGACATCTCAAGACATGACAGAGTTGCAGAAGGTGCATAGGAGGGCAGTTCAGGGAAAAACAAAAAATTGACTGGGAACTTAGAGAAAAGAAGGGTGAAGGATACCTGGAACAATTACATCTGCACGAAAGCATACAGCAGAACGCTGAGAGTCATCTCGTAGCAGGCAGATGCCTGTGCCTTGCAAATAGAAGAATTGGAAGCAGGAGGTTTAGGGAAGGAATTCCTTTGTACTGTGCAAAGTCCAGAGGCACAGGCACGAATGAACAGACCATGGGGCTCCTGTTCTGCAAGGACAAGGCTGGGCATCATCTAGGGACTGCTTCAATGCTCACCCTCATTTGGGCATGCACCAAGAATGGCACAATGAAGTTTTTTACCAATAATCAATGCACAAGGTACGAGAACACAAGATAAATACGAATGCTCTCCTGTGTCGGGATTTCATAATCCTCAACTGCATTCCTTCTCAGCTCTCCAAGGAACATGACTGACTGAAACTCATACACGGAGCTTTCTCAGAGGTAAGGACAATGACAAACATCTAAAAACTGTGCATCCTCTGGGAGCCAGGAAGCGATACTCTTCCTAGCACAGGCATGGAAATACACCTTCAGAGAAGGCTCTGAGATTCAGACAGACAAGGAAACGCTACAGAGTAAGAAAAACAGCTGCTGAGATGAATTAAAATGGCAGCAGACATGCCTTCTTAGATGCTTTCTTCCAACCAGAGGGAGCAAGAGGGGGACAGGAAGGCTAGTGCATGCTCACGGTAGAAAGGGCAAAGAATAAAAAACAAATCAAATTTCTCTCACAGAGCGTAAGCAGATTGCTGACTGTATGCCTACCAATCTGGAAGCAGGCATCTGGAAACAGCAATAATTACAGAATGCTCTAGGAAAACCACAAGTTTATCATAACTTACCTGGCTGATGATAATATTTTTGACAGTGTGACCTAGTTTCCAGTGACCCAATTCATGACCAAGTACAGCCAGAACTTCTTCATTTTTACATCCTTGTTTCTTATTCTGAGGGAATAACAAAGCAGAACTAATATCAGGTATGACTGAACACAACTGAGTGCATTTCTTACTTATTAGTTTGTTTTTTCCTAGGCTGTGTAAGTGTTCCTAGATCAGGTCACTCCCTTCTACCAGCAGGTACATACATCTAATTTCTTACTGAACCTTTTTCAAGAAGATACTTACAAAAGGAGACCAACTTTTAATTTCAACAAGATTTCTACCTTGAGGTGGTGTTCTCTCGTTTGCCTATGCAAAGCTGGAAGATTTGCCTCCCAAACTCTCTCCTACTGTCCCTTGATCTCATCCTGTCTCTTTACTCAAGAAAAGCCATTTCAATGGAAGCAGCCACTCGGAGCCACAAGCTTTCAATGAAGATTCGAGAGCAAAATCTTGTCCTCTCCCTCCTTATTTAACAACACTTAGTTTGTAGGCTCCTCCCAAGGCATTACCCTGCCTTTAAAAATGAATGACAAGATGCTGCCCTCTGCAGCGAAGCTACCACAGGCGTTAAGGCCAGTTACGGAGGTGGACATCTCTACCTTCAAAGGTGTGTTAGCAAGTCAGAAGCAAGCTCGTCGGCTTGCGTACTGCGAACACGGCTGAACAACCCATCGAAACGGAACAAATGATTCTCGTTGTGACTAGAGCAGGCGAGTTCAAAATCCCTTCCTCTCATCACCCACTTGTGCCGGATGCCACACCAAACGGGGATGAAGAGAATTCCAACACCAGCACGGTTACAACAAACAGACGCTAGACTGAACAACAATCTATACACTGGCCTAACCCTAGGCTGCACGAGGCAGTTCTTTCTTCTCAGAATTATTCCTTCAGGGTCTTCAGAACATATTCCATCAGTTTTAACTATCCTCACACTCCCCTGAAGCCACAAAAGCTGCTACAGCAGCTGCACATCAATGAAAAAGACACTAAGGCCATCATTCTGTTTCTGACCAGGGCAGAAGAGGATGCACATGTGGAATCCATACGTGTGTGCCTCGTGCATGTAATAAAAGGCACACAAATGACACACGGATATTCAAAAGCATTTCCTTCAAAGGGAAGCTTTGGTGTGGCACTCCCAAGAGAAGCTACATGAGCTAAAACCCTGAAAGCTTCCTTTGTCAAACAATTACAAAGGTGGCCTGTTTTCTACATGCGGAGAATCAATGTTCTGGCAAAGCCCCCATGGATTTCTGTAGCCTCTTTAGTGCTATGCGCATTCACTCAGCTCCCGAAATTCCCAGTAGCTGCTCAGGGATATTATGGTGTTGAAATCATTAGGTTTTGGGGTTTAGTATCTCACTCAGGACATTGAAAATGCATTCAGAAAACACAAGAGAATACATCACCGAGAAGTTAATGTACTTAACACAATGAAAAACAAAGAGGAACTCACTTTGGTTTTAGACTTTATCTCTTCGTTCTCACCATCCTCTCCTTCTGCTGGCTCTTTGTTCAATGCAGAGTAATCTTCCAAGAGGGTGTCAAAGAGTACTATCCGCTTATTCTTGAAGAATCCATAGAAATAAGCATTGCTGTGAGAAGACCGCTTAGAGCCTGATGGAGAAAAATCACATCAAAGACCATGATCTTAATAATTCCACGCGCTAAAGACGATGCAATATTAGAACGCACTCTTCCAAAGCAATTCTCAAACCAAACGGCAGACAAACTCAAGCAAATGAGTTTCCAAGCTGAAACATATTTTAAAATGATGTAAGTAACAACCATCTCATTTACTGACCCCGATAGAGAAACAATTTTTTCATCTGTAGCACATAACTGCTAAAAACATACGAGGAGTTGTGTGACGATCTAATATCCAGAGGCAAAGCAATTTCTGTTGCAATTTCAGGTGCAGAGCGGAGAGAGTATTCTGCACAGAACCCGTGCTGCCCTGCTGGCAAAAGACCTGGGACAAATACGTTTAGAATTCTTCCAATATGCCCGCAAAGATGATTTGAAACAGATAAGGATAAAGACATTAGAAACAGATGATGAAGTACAGATATTGGGCAGTCCCTCAAAATTATTTTTGTTTTCAACAGGCAAATTTTTATAGTTACTTTTATCTAGATCAGGTGAATTGTGGGCTATCAATATACTTGGGGCCAAGAAACATTGCTTTCCAGAGAACATGGATGGCTTCAGCTGATAAAAAAGCTGTCTAGATTAAAGCAGCTGCTAACACTTTGCCTACTTTTACCTATGGACAGGAGCTGTTGCAACATCAGGACTGAAAGAGGTCTCTAAGAGAGAGGTAGTGGATCACTCTTTTTGTAGCAAAAGGTTTTTGTAGCACTTCAGGTTGAAGGTGTTTGCCTTCATCTCTCACTATAAACATATGAGCTGCATAAACTTCTTAAAAGCACAGAGAATCTGTCGTTCCATTGCAAGCCAGCCCGTGGTGTGGTCACAGGAACCTTCAGCAACAAACCAACAGATCAGCAGAGGAAGCGGCTGGTCAGAGCATGAAGCCTCAGGATCCAGTCCCTTCTCAGGGACAGCCACAGAGCAGCAGTGTTCCCTTTAACCTCATAAATCATAAAAAAAAAATCATCTTCCACTAAGTGCTGGTAGAGAAGGGATATCTATAATCTGCCTGTTCCAAAGTGAACCCTGAAATTAAAGCACTTGGTTGCACGTGTGACTAAGAAGTCAGTTCTGGAGTGGAAAGAGCCAAGAGAGAGCTCGGAAAAACACTGGCCAAAGAGATGTTCACACACCCAGTCCCCCAGGTCAGAAGGGAATGGTGCTGGCTCAACATTCTTAAGGCTGCCAGGAAATAAAGCGGGGGTTTTGCATCCTCACCCCACTGCAAATCCCTGCCACTAAATGCCAGTGTAGCAGCACACTTACAGGAGCCAGAGTGTCAACAACCGGCTCACTGGCTGTGCACCGTGCCTAAAAGCTGAGATGCAGCCAGCAACGTATGTGGGGAAACTTACTACATGGCAAGCCTTTGCACTGATTCTCAAGCTTGAAATATTTCACTTCCCCAGGAAAGAGGGCCCTCAGTATGTCAGTTGTAGCACCGAGGCAAAGCACTGGATGGATTTTGAAAGCCACAGCTGCCAGGCTGGATAAAGCCTTCACTGCCCTCTCTAATGGCAAAATTCTACCATCCCTGTTCTTTGTGCCATCTCGTACTGTGGTCACCCGGGCAACAAAAACACCTCTCGTGCTCACAGCGGGGGGCACAAAACCAAAACAAAATTTGGGAAAGTCCCTGCAATCAAGGTCAGAAGGGAGCAAAATGAGTAAGAGTGGAAATGCTCCCATGAGCACAGCAGTGGAGAGGAAGTGACGTGGCAGCTCCTTCATGTTATGTTCCATGACGCAGGAAAAAAGGAAGAAATATTCATTACTAGAAAGTGAAAAAACACAGTCTCAAGCAGAAGGTATGAGTCCAGCCAGACAGACCATATGAAACCATCCATGTGAACTCTAAGAGGGAACAGGTGTTTTTCACTTTCATAACTTTTTCAACAGTTTCACCAAGGACTGTGAGGCAATTAATGCTAACCTGAGACTGGAAAAGATAAAAAGCCCTTTTCCCTCTGGTTTAAAGCTCTAAAATGGGAATCTTGATTGCTGCTTCTATTTCTGACTGTGCTATGCGCTTCCACTCCACAGACACGAGATTCTGCTTCCACCAAGATGCTGAGATCAAGCTGTACATTCCACTTTTTTGATGTCAAGGCAAAAAAAAAGGAAAACAGTACACACATTGTTAAGTACTACAACAGCTGAGGAATATAAGCAACTGCCCTATTGAAGCATCCACAACCAATGCTAAAAATCCACAAATTCAGAACTACTGCCTTTGTATCAAAAGAAAAATAACCTCACCTTCAACAACATACACCTTAGTCAATGGGAAGTCAATGCTCTTTGCCATTGTTTCAATTTGTTGCTTGAGCTCTCCCTCGGGAAGTGGGATGAATTTATCAAACAAAGGTGCAATATAGTCTGCATAGATGGTAACGAGCACCTGCAAACACATACAGGCATTAAAAACAAGGCATACAAATGTGTGGTTAGTACGGCAAGTACAAAAAGAGGGCACGATTGGAGAAAAGAACACCTGATAAAGCAGAGACCTGAACAAAGTGCGACCTATGGCAAGCTCTAGGGCTCACCCACTCTGTGAACACAACTGTCCAGCCTTTTACAAGAAAGATCCGGACGTGCTGGAGCGTGTCCAGAGAAGGGCCACGAGGATGCTCAGAGGCTGGAGCAGCTCTCCTGTGCAGACAGACTGAGAGAGCTGGGGCTGTTCACTCTGCAGAAGAGAAGGCTCTGAGGAGACCTTCTGGTGGCTGCCAGGATCTCCAGGGGGCTACAAGAAAGCTGGGGAGGGGCTGGTGAGGGTGTCAGGCAGGGACAGGACTGGAGGGAATGGACTGAAGCTGGAGATGGGTCGGTTCAGATGGGACGTGAGGAAGAAGTTCTTCCCCAGGAGGGTGGGCAGACCCTGGCACAGGGTGCCCAGAGAGGGGGTGGCAGCCCCATCCCTGGGAGTGTTTAAGGCCAGGCTGGATGGGGCTCTGGGCAGCCGGATCTTGTGGGGGATGTCCCTGCACATGCCAGGGGGGTTGGAACGTCCCTGCCCGTGGCAGGGGGTTGGCACTGGATGATCTTTCAGGTCCCTTCCAAGCCTGACAGTTCCAGGATTCTATGAACACAACAGCAAGATGGGGGCAGGTTAACCTGTCCTCAGCAGTCAGTGTAAACCGTGTTTCTCCTCTGATGGTTCATCAAACCTCAGAAGGCAAAGCCACTGGGACAGCTGGGAGCACTGGTCTCACCAGTGACCGGCCGTCATTTGCACCCACTTCACCCATACTGGAAAGCTCTGAAGTGTCCCATGATGAACAGCAGAGCCGACCAAACCAGGAGGTTAGTCCCGCTTCTACAAACTCCTGCTAACTTGCAAAGCCACTAAAGCAGACAAGAAATTCCATGTTCCCTATTTTCTTCCCCTTCTCCCAGTTGTTTGCAGAGCTCAGGAACGGTCCCCAACACTTAACAGCTCTGCTGCAAAACTCACTACGGTGACCCACACCTCTTCGAACAGGCAGCAGATACAGCCCAGATGAGAACGCCAGGACTGCAATAACACCGTGATGTACGGAAAGCTGAACTCCCTTCCCTCACACTCTGGACCTTGATGAAGTGGGTTTTATTCATGTAAAAGAACAAGACTGGAGAAAAGTTTAAATTCTGGTTAGTGAAAAAGGAACAGGACACAAGAAGTGAACCGACGTCAGCATTAACTTTGAAGTTCTCTTGACAGTTGTTTTTTTTCCACTGGAAACAACTACCTTGACTTTTGAAAGAATCTGCACTGTTGAAAAAGTTCAATGAAGGGACATCAATATGAAACACCACTAGAAATTAAAAGTTATTTCTGTTACTGTAAATGTTAAGGACAGAGTTTAAACCTCTGCAGGTATCTTGCAGGAAGTGTAGGAGGGTATTTTCTAAGCAGAAATCATCTGTCTTTTTCAGCCCAGTCAAGTGTCTCAGACCATGCACTACATGTGGCTTAATTTTAAGTTTTTATCTCTGATCTGTGTATAATTCCTTGATATCAGAAGCCTTAATAGACTGGTAGAAGAATGCAACTCTATGATTACAGAGTTACGGAATGTGATTACAACCGGAATTTTTCCCTAAACCAACCTCTAAAGTGGAAATCTAACACCTCTGAATCTTATTTAGCATGTCAAAGACTGTTCAAACCCACATATTAAGGCCTCAAGCCATGATCGACACCTTGTAAAGCTGCAGTGACACTGCGAGACAAGTCAACCAAGTGTCTGGGCATGCACTTAATTCTCAGCAAATAAAAAGAAGGAAAAAAAAAAAAAAAGCGAGCCACTCGCTCTTACTATATAACCTTTCCGCAGAGAAGTTTGTAGCTCTGACAGGATGTCGTGGTTTGAGCTAAACAGAACTCATTCTGTTCACTGATTTTACTTTCCAGCTCAGTCTCTTCTGGGAGGCTGCACTTTCTGAAGGCAGCAGCGTGTTTTTGCAGCCGGGACCGCTACTAGAAGTGACAACACCTGATGTCAGCACTTAGTGCCTAGGGTGGCAGAAAGGCTCTGGCTGATACTTGCTCCTATAGAGACTAAGGTCCCTGCTGGCTCTTGTGTGCCATGCCGAGGGTGCTGGGAAATAAAAGGGGGCACAAGGAAGTAAAAAGTTGCAACCCCAGAGGGTAACAGATAGGACAAGTGACCAACAACAGTATTCCATTCCATATACGTCATGGTCAGTATAAAACTGAGCCATGGGGGCTAAGTCTTCTTCTATGACCAGCATCCGAGGAGCACTCCGTCCAATTTTCCGCCTTAGATCCTGATCCCGAGTTCCCAAATCACAGAATCACAGAATGTTGGGGGTT